TCACCCAGCAACCTACCAACCTGCCTACTTACCTACATCGCTAATTATAACTACCCACTCACCCACCCAGCAACCTACCAACCTGCCTACTTACCTACATAGATAATTATAACTACCCACTCACTCACCCAGCAACCTACCAACCTGCCTACTTACCTACTCACAAACCCTCCTAACCACCTACCTACGCACCTACCTAGCTACCCGTACACATACACATCTACCTACCAATCTTCCCACCTAGCTACCCACACCTATACACGCACATAAACATGTGACTACCAATCTTCCCACCTACCCACCTAGCTACCCACATACCTACACACGCACATAAACATGTGACTACCAATCTTCCCACCTACCCACCTAGCTACCCACATACCTACACACGCACATAAACATGTGACTACCAATCTTCCCACCTACCCACCTAGCTACCCACATACCTACACACGCACATAAACATGTGACTACCAATCTTCCCACCTACCCACCTAGCTACCCACATACCTACACACGCACATAAACATGTGACTACCAATCTTCCCACTTACCCACCTAGCTACCCACATACCTATACACGCACATAAACATGTGACTACCAATCTTCCCACCTACCCACCTAGCTACCAACATACCTATACACGCACATAAACATGTGACTACCAATCTTCCCACCTACCCACCTCAAGCACCACATACCTACACACGCACATAAACATGTACCTACTAATCTTCCCACCTACCCACCTTCACACCCACATACCTACACACGCACATAAACATCTACCTACCAACCTTCCCACTCCACCCACCTCGCTACCCGCATACCTATACACGCACATAAACATGTACCTACCAATCTTCCCACCTACCCACCTAGCTACCCGCATACCTATACACGCACATAAACATGTACCTACCAATCTTCCCACCTACCCACCTAAACATCTACCTACCAATCTTCCCACCTAGCTACCCACAAATAAACATCTACCTACCAACCTTCCCACCTACCCACCTAGATATACCCACCTACCTATACACGCACATAAACATCTACCTACCTACCTACACCCACCTAACTATACACGCACATAAACATCTACCTACCTACCTACACCCACCTAACTATACACGCACATAAACATCTACCTACCTACCTACCTATACCCACCTAACTATACACGCACATAACTATCTACCTACCCACATACCTATACCCACCTAACTATACACGCACATAAACATCTACCTACCTAGCTACCCACATACCTATACACGCTCATAAACATCTACCTACCTAACTATACACGCACATAAACATCTACCTACCTAGCTATCCACATACCTATACACGCACATAGACATCTACCTACCCACATACCTATACACGCACATAAACATCTACCTACCTAGCTACCCACCTAACTATACACGCACATAAACATCTACCCACCTAGCTACCCACATACCTATACACGCTCATAAATATCTACCTACCTACCTACCCACATACCTATACACGCACATAGACATCTACCTATCTACCTACCTACCTCCCTAAACCTACCCACCGCCAGGTGTTCTTAACACAATGCAGTTTACTGTTTGATAACGGTAATGCTGAATCATTTCGGCACTGTTTTACAGTCCCAATGTATTCTGAAAAGTCACGTTTTTCGCAGAGTGAATGTTTGTATCCTGTAGTTTACTCATCAGCGTTTCCCTCGCGGCAGCAGTTAAAGGAAGATTGTCTTGTATGTCACACGGGATGGACTCCAGACAGTGATGTGACATTTCAAAGCCGAAACTGTGTCATGCAGAGAAGAGTACAAACATGTACCAAACCAATAAAAATGGTTGATTCATAAATAATATTGTACTGTGTTTGAATAAGGATACTGGAAACATGTATTGAGATGAGGATTGAAAAATTGTTTCATCTGAATTTCTTGTAATAATTCAAACATAGAGGAAGTTTTACATGGACGCTTTCAAAGAAAATCCTAGTTAAACTTCGGCATAACTCAGCGGATTGAAACAAATCCTGATAAATGCAAGGAAACGTAATGTGTAAGTACTATAATCTTGAATCAACGTCAAACCCCATTCAAATTCACATATGAATGACATGCGCTTTGAGACATAAAAACAATAAGTGTTCATCGGTCACATTTTGATAGTTGCACTGTACCATTGCCAAACTGGAAAATATCTTTTAGGCATTGTTAAGAATCAATGTCCTGGAAAACGAAATTGATGAAGATATTTTACCATCAGGAATAAAATCCGAGCGTCTGGTTTAATTAGGGTTCCTCCTTATTTCAGTTTTAATCACGAGAAAATTCTGCTTGACGTGATCGGGTGGTTTCGAACAATAGTTACATGTAGGCTAAACAATGTCTCATTCAAAGTGACGAGCCAATGACCAATAACCGTTTCCCTCTTTAGCCTTGTGTAATTTCGTTCAGGATTTCCTGTAAGGAGAAGTGAAGAAGTATAGAAACCCTTTTGGAAATTACATTGGACATCATATTTGTCACTGTAAAATTTGGAAATGTCAAATTTTATATTGTCTTTCATTATGTACGTATTATTGAAAAACATTATGTTGTGAAAGAACATGCTCATTGGGAAGTGTAGTGCAGTACGAAATACCTACTTGAGGACGCAACAATAACAAAACGAGATTTTGTTTTGATGTCTATAAATGCCAGTTTTCCGTGATAGATAATCCCCCCTCTGTCATCGGAAGTATGCCACGTGACACTAATGACAAGATATTGGTGATAGTTACGTGTGCATTCTTACTATGAAATATCGTTAAAGGCCGGGGCGCAAACCTCCAAATCCCCCGTGGGTTCCCAAATAGTCTCCCCATTGGCTACTCCTCAGCAGTGTAGATGTTAGGGCATATCAGGTGGAAAATACAGTGCTTTATGAAACAGGGGAGTAAATGATTTATTTATCCAATACTAGTTTCCAGAGGAGATATCAAGCGATATATCCTAGGAGATATCGTCTTGGCAAGTTTTGAGGTGATTGCTGATTGTTCAATATTTTCGGACTACTTTCATCTCCCTTAGCTGTAGACAAAGCTGACCACCACTGTCGTCATTTTTGACAGGTCGAAAGAGTTGTTTTTTGTTCATGATTTGTTCTAACGACATAAAGCTTTACTTAAAATGCCACAAAGAAATGGTGAAAAACTTACGCATTGCAGAAATTAAAGCAATAAATGTTAGCACTACTTTTTTATGTGCTTGTTTTTATGACGTAATGGTGTCACTCGTTCCCTCTTCCATCACTCTTGTTCACTAATCACGATAAATGTTGCCGTGATGTTATCGGGATGGTCCACAGTCTGTCCTGTTTCCTGTCTTGTTGACATCGAGAATTGCACTCCAAGCCTCGCTTTCAAACCGGAAGGAGCGAAATGTGGAAAGGGTTGATACTCAACTCGCAGGCTGCATTTGGACCGAATATACAACCAGGCCATATGCTAGTATTTATTAGGCTATCGAACTAATACCAGGTGAATATGGTGTAAACTTACTGGGTGATGCTCCTACCCTTGTCCCTGTTAAGAGACGGTCAGTGGAGTTCAAGAGTGGAAGAACACATTAAAGTACCACTGCTCATAATAACATACACGATAGGGTTCTGAATCAGCACACTTAAAGCCAATACATTACGAGTTCTGAACACAGGTAAGGTGAGGTGAAATGGGTTTTAACGTGCATGTGTGTATGTGTGGCTGCTTGTACTAGCCCAGACCTAAGCTGGTTTTATAGTGCTAGCCCACTGAGATACCATGCCACAGTTAAGCATAAATACACCACTCAGACATATTATACTGACTCCGAGCCGACCAGTCCTTGTGTACCCACTATTGCCGAGCGCCAGGCAGGAACCAACAAGTACCATATATTAACGTCTTTTGGTATGACGCGGCCGGGGATCGAACCCGCGACCTTCCGCTCTCCGGGCGGACGCTCTGACCACTACACCCCTGAGACGGCTCTGAACACAGAAATGAACTGGGCATAACAAAGGTTTCAACGCGCATGCGTACAAAGTTTGTGGCGGCCATAAAGCTGGAATATTCCTGAGTGCGGCGTTAAACAACAAACAAACAAAAGAAAACCAAGGTTTGAAACGATTCAAGTAAATAATCTCCTGCGAGTGTGTACATCCTTTGGAAACAGACCCACCTGCTTTTCGTGAACGAACCTTGGGTCATGCAGTTATAGGTTTACCACTCTCGGTCAGAGACAAAGCAACAGGCCAAGCAGTGGAAACATTAAGCTGAAGAAGGTAGAGCCTGTTCCGTCCCTAGGCAAAGGAAGGAACCCCAATATGGACCTTGTGGTATCCAGATTTCACCTTCATATGCACTCCAGGCCTCGCTTTCCAACCGGAAGTAGTGTGAAAGGGGTTATATACAGCATTCATGGATTCAGTACATTATATTACATGTTCACAGGCTGCATTAGGACCGAATTTGAAAAATATCCAAATTAGAAACTGACTCTATCCATCATAGTTGTCTTATTGCAGCCACACTTCGTGCTTCCAGGTCGCTTTGTCTCTGTTATTGAACTTCCTAATTTAATAATAACAGTGATAGAAATTGCATGTTAAAACAAAACTTCAGTCGCAAGTATCTGTTAACAAGAAAATAAGTTTATTCAACAATATTTACAATGACAAATATCTAGGGTAATATTGAGGTAAGTAGAGGTTGCCGTCCCATGCCAGATGTTAGAAATACCACCACAAAGTATTCGTTTGTCCCAGCCGCCGGTCCACTTAGCTTGAAGTACTTTTTGCGGACCGGGAAGGTGTGTGTGTGTGTGTGTGTGTGCGTGCGTGCGTGCGTGCGTGCGTGCGTGCGTGCGTGCGTGCGTGTGCGTGTGCGTGTGTGGATGGGTTGTGTTTTAAACAGATTCAAAGTATCATTGCTCATTACAAGTTACCTTTGTGACTAAACCCAGCAACCAAAGTTCAGTTTTCAAGTCAGGTTGTATGAAACCTTTTTTTCTTCTTTTCAATAATAATAAATTCTATAACACTGACCGACCAATAACACTTCCTTTTGGCCAATTTTCTTCTTTGTTTTGATCCCATGGATGAATAGACCGCTCGCGATCATAAAATGATATTAATGACATATTTTTATCAGCTAAAGGCTAAATTTCAATTTTCACAATGCAATATTCCATGTTGAAATTTCCCTGCTATTTTTTAACACCACTTTGAAATTCAGTTATATTACTTTCGTGAAACACACAAGGGCGAGTATGGCGCTGAAAAACCATGAACACGACCCTCCACCCAACAATACCATGGCGAGCCAAACAGGTGTCCTTAAAATTGAGGAACCCTCAGTCAAAGTCATCAGTAAAATATACTCTCCCAAAAAAGAAACGCATCATAAAAATAGCAATGAATTAAAACGTGATTCATTTTACAAAAGGTTTTGCTCTGTTTATGAGTCCTATGGTGTTAATGTTTGAAACATCACAACAAAACGCACCATCCGTAAAATACCCGTATTTAACAGCATGATTTTCAATTTCGGCGTGTAGTGTCACAGAATACACAATTCACATGCAATGCACGTGAAAGTTGGGGATCAGATAGTCTCAATGATCGCTGTCTGTCGATTATTCACTGTATTTGGAATATTGTTGACGAACGCAAAGTGCCCGACGCATGAATGTTCACCAAAGCACCATTTCACGGCTCTGGGAGATATATCGCCGGCAGAATGCGGTAGCAGATGCCCCTCGTAGTGGGCGGCCTCGAGCGACCACTGCGGCGCAGGATCGCTACATCCGGGTACATCACCTGCGTCATCGAACAGCTACGGCGACCAGTACCGCTCGACAAATACCCGGATTGAGGAGGCTTTCTGCACAGACCGTCAGGAACAGGTTGAGAGAGGCTGGTTTACGTGCCAGAAGACCTTATTTTGGCCCTGTGCTTCGACAACAACATCGTCGACATCGAGTTCAATGGTGCACCAACGTTCAGGCCTGGAACCTACCGAATTGGCGTAGAATCTGGTTCAGTGATGAATCACGATTTCTATTGGAACGACGCGATGGAAGAATGCGGGTGTACAGGCGTCGACGTGAACGTTTCGCCGACGCTTGCGTTCCCCAGGTGGACAGATTCGGCCGGGGCAGTGTTATGGTGTGGGGAGAGATCACCTGCCGTAGGAGAAGTGATTTGGTGATGATCCAGGGCAACCTGACAGCTCAACGGTACTGTGACGAAATCCTACGCCCACACCTCCTTCCAATCATTGATCGCCAGAGTGAGTTGTTTCAACAGGACAATGCCAGGCCCCACACAGCACGTCACACTAGAGACTTCCACCAGAACCACAACATCAATGTGCTCCCCTGGCCCTCTAGATCACCGGACTTACACCCGATCGAACATCTGTGGGATGCCCTGGACAGACGGGTGCGACGCCGTAACCCTCAGCCCCAGACACTTCAGCAACTCGCACAGGCACTACAGGCGGAGTGGGCTGCGATTGGACAACACGTGATTCTGAGACTTTTTCGTTCGATGCCGAGGCGATGTCGTGCAGTTCTGGATGCCCACGGTGGTCACACGAGATATTGACTTCAGCGCCACCACACGTCTCCATGTGACACTCAAACTGACTTTCCTCGAGTTGGTGCCAAAGACGGATAAATCTGCATTCACAGTGTGCAATTTCGCTATATTTCATTGACCCATAAAGCCTACAAGATGTTTCAAAATAAACATAAAAATACAGTTGAAATTCCTATATGCGTTTCTTTTTTGGGAGAGTATATTTATTTGAACCTCCAATATCGTTCAACAAACGTGATAATTAGCAAATGCACTATTACACCTAACTACTGAACACTAAACATAGACTCCTGATACGCCCATGGGACATAATTCTTCACAGCGGACCGCTGCACCTTTCATACCTGTACAAGGTATCTGTGACTTTGAAAATCATAAGTTTTATAAAGACAATTTTAGTGAATATTACATGAACATAGAACTGTCAGGAACTTTTCAGAAAGAACACGTCCCGACTTAGTCAGATGCTGAGGTGTGGGCGTGCTGGAAAGATCGGGAACTGTTTCCTCATATCTATGTCAGTAATAAAGGTGTGATACATCACAGTTGAAAGACGGAACTGTGGATGTAAAAATGATAAAGAAACATTGTGCATATAGCTGTTGGGAACTGAAATTTTTGCGTTCTTTGGAGATACGACCTTGTTACCAGGGGCGTCCTACTGTTGTGATTGATGAGAAAATTGAAATAGATTAATTAATTGCCAACTTATCAGCAGTGTATAACATTCTTATCAAGTAAGCTGTTTGAAAAGAAAAATACAGGGCAGATTTAGTGACACATTTTATGGCTTTACTGTCGGTGCAAAATAACATCACCAATTAACCTTACCATTAGTGCCAACAATTCGGTCCCGAAAGGCATTTACCCAGTATTTATACATCTATCACTGTAGATACCTCAGACACAATATTTGCACTTTAACATTCATTAAGACTGGAAGAAATGAAGTAACACGTGGCCGAACACGTGATTACACATACGACACCGGTGGGTGTAGAAACCCCAGTATGAGAATCCGCTTTTCTCCTTTGTTCATTGAATAAAGAGCTAAACTATTGTAGTTGTCTGTCACAACACCGATCAATATATTAGTATGCTCATAATTATGATACAGAACAAAAGATTACATTTTAAGTTCATCAAATCAATTTGCGTTACTGAATATGTACAACAGGAATGGCAAGTCTTTGTGGATGATCAACTTCTTTATTGTACAATAGCGACGTTTTCAAGCATTATTATGCTTGACAACGATATAAGTATCTATACCGAAACTGCGCTATTGAACAATAAAGAAGTTAATAATCCATAAGGACTTGCCATTCCTGTTGTACATATTCAGTAACGCAAATTGATTTCTTTCATAAAGAAGGATACCTTTGCTAAACAAGTATTATTATTTGACCAAATGTGAGATTCGAACCACGACCTGTGATGCACAAATGCATATCGTCTTGTGGTGCCACTGGACCATCTGTGCACCAGCTGGAGACTTGGAAGGCGCGTCACGTGTCACAGCTGCAGGCACTTACTACATTGTTTCCATCCAAGTACAGGAAGAGCCAAGTTACAAAACGGTGTCTCATTTGATTTCCATCACGACGAAACAATATTATCACGCACCCCAAACAGATTAAATATTTTTACCACCATCCAAAATGGGTTCTTTCCTCTCAACATCCAACCTAAGGACACATAATCTGTTTATAAAATACCACAAACTATATATTGAAACGTAGACATTTTCCGTCTATTTTGACCAAACGTCATTGTGTATAGTTTTCACAACCCTTCTCCTGTCAGGTGGTGTGTGATGAAGGACGTCTCCCAATGTCCGACGTTCCTTGTCAGCAGTGAAAGTTGGCCTCCACTTGGCGTCCGGCCCGCGGCACCACCGGCCTGACATTGCTGTGTTGCCCCAGGTAACTGCCGTCTGACATCCGGGAACTCTGGAGTATCAGCAGCTGGAAACATAAGTTATTCCATCAGTGTTTTTTTTTTTTTTTGTATTTAAGGTAGACTGGTTTAAAGGTACCCGTTATGAAATGATTATAGTACGCGTGTATTTCAAATTGACCATGCTCATCATGTTGATCACTGGATTGTCTGGTCTATATTTGATTATTTACAGACCTCCGCCATATAGTTGGAATATTGCTGAGTGCCGCGCAAAACTAAACTCACTCATACAAACAAATTGACTACATGGGCGAATCTTGTCATGTGTGATATATAGCCGGTTATTACCTTGTCACGGGTGATATATAGCTTGTTATTACCTTGTCACGGGTAATATATAGCTTGTTATTACCTTGTCACGGGTGATATACAACTGTTACAACCTTGTCACGGGTAATATATAACTGGTTACTATCTTGTCACGGGTGATACATATAACTGGTTTTTACCTTCTCACGGGTAATATACAACTTGTTATTACCTTGTCACGTGTGATGTATAACTGGTTACTGCCTTGTCACGGGTGATATATAACTTATTATTACCTTGTCACGGGTGATATATATCGGGTCCTTCATCACGATCCAGCGCACAGACTCGGAACAGGGGGGCGTGGTCAGAGAGCCATGGTATGCATAGAAGTCCTTCTGCCAGGGAAAGAGTTGACGGGGATCCACCGAGAACGGCCGCTTATTGCCTGGAAGTCACGAAACACGTGTCATCTATCACCTCTACAACACGGTAAACGTGCAGAACACCAGGTGTTTTCACATGACCTAAGCTAATGTGTCACTTCATTCATTGCCACTTCAGTAGATATTAGGAATCTTTGACTGTCTTCTCAATGTACTTTTTTAATAATTGGTTTCCATGGTCGAGATTATTTTTTTTTACAGGATGCCGTGATACAGAGTGAATGAATGAGTGAGTATGGTTTTATACCGCTTTTAGCAATAATCTAACAATATCACGGCGAGGGACTCAGAAATGGGCATCACACACTGTACCCATTGTGGGGAATCGAACCCGTGACGAGCGAGCGATTTAACCACAAGCCTACCCTATCGCCTCTGTGCAACAATTGAATAATAGTGAAATTATGTTGTATACCCGTACCTTTACCTCCAGCCAGTCCGCAAACACGGATGAGTCGGTTCAGTTCAGCATTGGGGGACAGATGTGACACCTATTGGTTAAAACGTCAGTTGGTTAAATGCCACGTATGTATATCATGGGCTGTCAGTTCAATATGACAGGAACAGATCTCAGACGTTTATCAGTTTGGCCCAACCGGTTTCAGTTGGGCCTGGTGCGGACAAACCAGGAATCTAGTATTCGAACCCACGATCATCGGTTCCTGACGGTCGCAAGATACGCAACCCTGCATAGCGAAATGAAGCGCCTTGGACGCCACTCTCCCAACTGGGGAATCTATTAAGACTGTCTGCTGTCCTCGCAACTGTAACTCCACACAGATGAACACGACTGTCTTGAGGGAGCGTATGCTGGTCAAATTCGGGAATGTAAAAAAGACAGTACATGATCTCATAGTGGTATATCCACAAACACATGAGTCGGTTCAGTAAATTGTTTCGATAACAAGTCGATAAGGGGGTCTGTGACCTTTGGAAAATGGACAAACTTGAGAAACGTGGAGTTACAGAGTGCTTGCAGAACAACTTCACAACACTGAAATCCATCAATGTAGATATACATGTATGAACAACAGTATGACAGGATTCCCCTTCCTTTACCACCGTAAGGAGCTTGGCAGCAGTGTTTAGATATAGGCCCAAGACATCCAAACAATTCCTGATCTGCTGATGACCAACCAGCGAATGACTGTTCAGTACCCAGTTTCGTGGGTATTTCAGAGGAGAGAAAATTCAATCTCTGAAACTTGGGCAATCCTCGATAATCTCCAGGGTATACGTTACGATCACTCTCCGCTATACCCTGGATGCATCCACAGCTTGGCCCGATGATTTTATTACCTCCCTTAGCTGGCTTTTTATCCAATCAGGTGTCTAAGCAACGCCGAGCTCGGACAATCCTTGGATGGGTGACCTTGTTTGGCAGCTTGACTCCTGAGAGTTTCTAGGACTCCAGTCCTGCCCCACAACGAAGCACATGTGATACATGTGGTCTCACCTTAGGCAAGTGAGTTTGTTCAAATTGCCTCTGTTCTTCCAGCAGAAAATGGGTACCCGGTGGGATAAAGTCATGTGACTATAACCTTCTAGCGCCTAACAGGCAGCTTGGGTTATCCGGGGTAATAAGAATCAGATTCTGATTAAGCGCCGCGAGCAATCACTTGGTGTTTGGAAACGTGCGCTATAGAAGATGACTTATTATTTATTATTTTTTACGCTGGGAAGTTGCGGGAACCAATCAAAACTCACTTTAGCTTCTTAAATCATCTAACCGTTTAAACTTAGCAACACAGTTGATGCAGAGATACTCTGAAAGAGTTAGAAGGAGTTCTTTCATATATATATATTTTTTTACAGTTTCATATCTGTCAATTTGTCTGCATGGTTTCCCCCAAAACCTGAGTCGCACTGAGAACAAACCTTCGCGACTGCGACCGCTATCTTTGTTGACACTGGCAAGCTCGGTTGTAACGGCGGCTCAGCTGATTGGCTACTGTGAGAATGCGGAGCCAGCGAAGGGAGGTAATGTAATTATCGGGCCAAGCCGTGGATGCATCCAGGGTATAGTGGAGAGTGATCGTAACTTATACCCTGGAGATTATCGAGGATGAGAAAGTATAAGCTCATTGGAATCCGATGCTTTTCTCAGATGACCAAAAACGCACCGTGTACAACATGCATATGTCTCATGGTAATCTATTTCTGTTCGAAGCTGATCCAGAAAGTTTCTTGTGATTTGTGACTATGGATAAAACCCGAACACACCACGTCTGGGCTCAGTCCCAAACAACAATCAAATCAGTGCTACATCTCCACCAAAGAAGGCAAAGACTGGGTAGGTTATGCCTTCTTGGATGTAGAGGGTGTGTATTGTGGTGAACTACCGTACAAAAGTCCAAACAATAAACGGAACATATGTTGCTGTACGTTCGAAACGATAAGACGTCGAAATGTTAGCACTGCACAATTCAATTTCCATGACTACAATCCTAGAGTGTGGCTTTGAACTCATTCACCATCCGCCATATCCTCTAGATTATATACTTCTGTTCCCAAACATCTCTTGGTCTGAACCCATTTCGAATCAATAACAAATAAAAGAAGGGCGTCGTTGTACCTGGTATAAAATTCCGTCAACAAGTGTATCAACATGGAAGGGGGGTATATTGAACTGTATATCCTTCTTATGTCTTCAGGCGAAGGCTTTCTGTGTTAGGCTCATAACGTATTAATCAGTCAATATACCTTCAGGAAGATTCCAACCACAGCGAGACCATCATGTCGCTTGACCGCCTCCGCCACGGTACCGTACTCTCTCTTGTAATGGACCAGGTGAAGCTACAGGAGACAAAAGTAAACTGTATAGAGACCATGTTTAAATGTATCATGTTCTGTGTAATCCTATGGCGGGTGTCCACGTTTATTAGTTTTTCTTTATGCGTAATTACGTTACATATTGTCAGCAAATATCAATATATTCAAAATCTCTTAAGTTCGTGTTTAATTCAGCTTTTTCTGAGGCAGCTGTTGAAAATACACCCTTGTATAAAATTTTCTGAACTGACACAAGTCGGCAGTCTTTCTTTATGTTCGTCGACAGTTAAATTTTGATAAATTGATTGCCCCTGGCGGAAAATCTCTTTATAGAATTATAGACAAAATATACACGCGACTATCATGTCATTAAGATCCATAAAGCAGAACAGAATTAGGTGTATAAGACGAGAAGGAGCACCTACCTCTGCATCGTAGCCGACGTTGTCCACCACATGCTCTGAGCCATGACCTGTGCCGTTACCAGCATGAAAGTGCAACGTCGACAGGACGTACTCTGAACTCTCCCAATACGGAACTCCCAGCAGTGCCGGGGTTACACTGTTACTGAAGTCTATAGACACCGCATACCCTGAAATGAGAAGAGAGATGAGACTGGAAAATACGCTTGTTGTAGGTATATCACAAAAGCTTTGACTTTTCAATTCGTGAGTGAAGGGCAACCGTTGTTTTTGTGTGTTTGTTTTGATTTGTTTTGCATTAATTAGTCTTTTTCTTTGTTTTTAAAATGTCGCCAGATTTTCGCGGTATGAAAACCTTCTCGGTCAGCGAGAAGGGACTAGGCGGAGTAGAGGGACCCTCTCTGGCTTTCTTGAACTCCTTTGGAACATGAATTTGAACATTACTAGGGCCTGTTACAAAATGATTCATTCCCTATACATTTGAACTGAATTCATCTCTTCCTGAAAATCAAGACCATGTTCTCTCTCCCTGAAAATCAAGGGTTCGACCATGTTCTTAAATTCTTTCGAAAATGCAAGGGATGGTGACAGAAATATGTATACAGAAATGAAAATACATAGGACTAGGTTCAACATGAAAATCAACAGGACATGTTGGCGGTTACCTGTAAGAGTGCACACAACAAGGCTGAACCATGTATTTCCAGAAACCTGGACTGCAAATCACAGACTGAGACATTATAAACATAATGGCTACCTGTCACCGAGTTGGTTTCAAGCATGTCAGCTTCCTTTAAGGATTCGTCACATCGTAGACGATGCATTCACAATCTGATCACAAACACTGTACATCAGTAGTAGGTAGCTTAAGCGTCACTTGGGATATAGAAATCAACAACACTAGTAACAACAACACACAACATCGGACAAATTCATTTGCCGCAGAAGGTAAAACAGAAAATTGTATGAGTGCATCACTGAAAATCAGTAAACACCAGGTGATCGCGAAAAGAGCATGCCTGCCCTGCCCTACCGGTAGAATCCGTCATTAACTCTCAAAGTAATTGTTTGTTTATTGACAGAAGTCGCACAATTGTAATGTTGTTTGCCATTAACATTACAACTGTATTAAGACGAGACGTTTGTTGTCTCTTACACCCATGAGTGCGTTATACATAGAGGATATTATATGAGTGCCCTTATCATACGATGTTTACGACACGAGTGCCTAAATGTTGGTATTTCCCGAGCGAGACCGAGGGATATACCGATATTTAGGCACGAGTGTCGTAAACATGGTATGATATGGGTATATAATACCTGATATATGATAAGAATTCTTAACTTTGGGTACGAATATAATATTCTGTTTATTACCGAAGTCGTCAAATTGAGGAAAATAAACCCAAATCTACTTTCAAACATAGGCTGGCTACCCGCCGTTACCGCATGTAGAACGCAACGTCACAGAAGAAACGTGACGTCATATCATTGTTCATGACGTCACGTAACCATGACAAAGTGATATTTTGCCCAATGGCATCGTATGAAAAATATGAACCCCGATATTTTCGCCCTCGTAGGTAATAAACCTTATTAAGTAAGTCATGTGTTATATAGCTGATAACAACCTATCCGTGTTATACAGCTTACAATGACCTACCTGTGTTATATAGTTTTCCTAGTATAGGTCCAACAGGCTCCGTCGTATATCTTATCCTGTGCGACTGCTTACATTTACAGTAGGCAGTTTCAATATTGATAGGAGACTGCCATTCACCCACACAACAGTCAGCTGAGTGTATCCAGTGAGAGGGACCTGTGGAGGTAAACAGCATAAATATAATACACAAAATCTATAGTGTGTTATCAAGGATTGAGTGCACCACAGTGAGAATTATCCCACCTGTATCATGATATAGTCGAAGCAGGACAAGGCAAATCGGTGGATACAATCGGTACAGAAGCTCATCTTAATTAGATTGCCTAAAACTTGAGTTATGAGGATTTGTTGAGAGGGCTGCTTTGTCTAATAATACTTCTGAAGTGTAAACAATCACTATTACATATATGGCGTAATGTAATTATCAATAAATGTGATCTAACTTAAAAAACATTGAATATTTCTAGATCCGTTTTATGTATTCGTTTGAGTAGAAATTATATATTCAGGACTGAGGGGGTTCGTATACCACGGCTAAGTAGGACGATACAGAGAATATATAATCAGAACTGGCAAGGTTCATATACCGCGACTAAGTAGGACGATACAGAGATTGTATATTCAGAATTCACAAGGTTCATATACCACGGGTAAGTAGGACTATACAGAGATTATATATTCAGAATTCGCAAGGTTCGTATACCACGGGTAAGTAGGACGATACAGAGATTGTATAATCAGAACTGGCAAGGTTCGTACACCACGGCTAAGTAGGACGATACAGAGATTGTATAATCAGAACTGGCAAGGTTCGTATACCACGACTAAGTAGGACGATACAGAGATTATATATTCAGAATTCACAAGGTTCGTATACCACGGCTAAGTAGGACGATACAGAGATTGTATGATCAGAACTGACAGGGTTATTATACCACGGCTAAGTAGGACGATACAGAGATTGTATAATCAGAACTGGCAAGGTTCGTATACCACGACTAAGTAGGACGATACAGAGATTGTATAATCAGAACTGGCAAGGTTCGTACACCACGGCTAAGTAGGACGATACAGAGATTGTATAATCAGAACTGGCAAGGTTCGTATACCACGACTAAGTAGGACGATACAGAGATTATATATTCAGAACTGGCAAGGTTCGTATACCACGGCTAAGTAGGACGATACAGAGATTGTATAATCAGAACTAATACCACGGCTAAGTAGGACGATACAGAGATTATATAATCAGAACTGGCAAGGTTCGTATACCACGACTAAGTAGGACGATACAGAGATTATATAATCAGAACTGGCAAGGTTCGTATACCACGGCTAAGTAGGACGATACAGAGATTATATAATCAGAATTGACAAGGTTCGTATACCACGGCTAAGTAGAACTATACAGAGATTGTATAATCAGGACTGATAGGGTTCGTATACCACGGCTAAGTAGAAGTTACAGAGACTATATAATCAGGACTGATAGGGTTCGTATACCACGGCTAAGTAGAAGTTACAGAGACTATATAATCAGGACTGATAGGGTTCGTATACCACGGCTAAGTAGAAGTTACAGAGACTATATAATCAGGACTGATAGGGTTCGTATACCACGGCTAAGTAGAAGTTACAGAGACTATATAATCAGGACTGATAGGGTTCGTATACCACGGCTATAAGTAGAAGTTACAGAGACTATATAATCAGGACTGATAGGGTTCGTATACCACGGCTAAGTAGAAGTTACAGAGACTATATAATCAGGACTGATAGGGTTCGTATACCACGGCTAAGTAGAAGTTACAGAGACTATATAATCAGGACTGATAGGGTTCGTATACCACGGCTAAGTAGAAGTTACAGAGACTATATAATCAGGACTGATAGGGTTCGTATACCGGGGCTAAGTAGAAGTTACAGAGACTATATAATCAGGACTGATAGGGTTCGTATACCATGGCTAAGTAGAAGTTACAGAGACTATATAATCAGGACTGATAGGGTTCCGATATCAGAATATATGGCCACAACCGAAAGAATATTTTACAACAAAGTTATATTACGCTAAACACAGATTAAATATCAAGTATGTTCATAGTTGAAGGGGTTATTGATAGTTAGATTGTGTGGGACCGTCCAGAGGATATATTTTTGTAAGTTTACTCCTTCCTGTAAGAAGCGTGTCTCTTTGAGCAATATGAATCGTATTTCTGGTTCTAAAGTGGGTCTATGTTCGACATACAACAGCTACAATGGACTAACCACTGACATCTTATTTTTACAAGTGGACCAAGGAGTCAGCATGTTATAGAAGGCAAGTAATAATGTATGTACTTATATAACTTCCATATAAAAGGTGTATGGTCAAAGCGCTCAATATTACCCAAGTTAATGGATCCGTATGCACTAGAACCCAAGCTGTCTGTGAGGTGCAAGGTTAACAGCCGTTTCGCCATCTCATCCCATCGGGTACCCATCCACTGCTGGGTGAACAGAGGCAGTTTTGAGCAAGGTCACTTGCCTATGGTGAGACATGTGATACATGTGCTCGTTGTGGAGCAGGACTTCAGTTTTTAAAACTCAGAAGCTGCCAAGCTGGCAAACATCCAAGGACATCCAAACTCCCATCCATGGACTCTTCGAGACCAACGTTGCACAGGGCGTGACCACACCACAAGACATGACATGACATTCACATCCGATGTTCACTTTGATCTTGGCACTGTTAGAAAGTATCACACACAAGAACGCCCTTGTGCAAAACAATATCCTACTTAAGAAACAGAGTATCTTCTGCCCATGTGTAGTTTACTAAAGCATGATGTAGCCCTGAACTATTGCAGTTGATTATGAAGACGTCGTTCACCTTTCAGAACAATGTTATGGTTGAACAAAAATTTTACTTTGAGTATTTTTTTCTTATTTAACTTTACGATTTGAAATATAGAATATCTTTTTACCTGAAGGATTACCTGTGAATACCATTAAGATGTACCTTGACAGTCAATAATACCAAGTCATTATCAATCACTGAGTAATTAATCGTTGCCGAAAATATATTGAGTAATTCATCACTACAGAGAAAATGTCAATCAAATCAGTCATTTGTTCCAGGGTAACAAATTCCGGTTTACCGAGGTCCCTCAACGCCTGTGAACATTCGCTCAATACCCTCGTTAACCTTTCACTTTTTCTTCTTCTTTTATTTTTTTTCTTTCTTTCTTTTTCTTTTTGGTTCACTTACTCTTATCTGTTATATATGAACATGTAGTTGGAGTGGCTGGTATGATGAACAGGAACGAGATTTTTCTTCAAACAAGTGACGTGCCATGACTTGCTTGATAACGGTGTTAGCATCTACATCGAAACGTCGCATCCATTCGCAATATAGAAGTTGTCTAACCATAAGAAAAATCGTTCCTGTTCATATATGAACATGTTCGCCATTTCCGTCATCGGTGCTGAAAGGAGGTAGTGTTGTTTTGGGCCGCAGTCAGCTATATTCCAGCTATGTAAATATCTGCCTGAAATAATCTGTGCCAGATTGAGCTGTAATTGATAGCAGGAGCAAGTCTTCCAGCAATTGGCTTACGATGGCACACTGAAGCATGTGACACAATTTAACCACCACATGGTTGTCCTGTCATGGTGCAGGATAACGCAAATCATTTCGCCAGGTATCATCACTATTTGAAAGTGATTCACATATAAACGTATAATTTAGTCTGTAACAGACAGTGGACTCTGTATTTGTAGACAATTATTATGATTACTGAAAAGGTTGTGTAGCTTATGGACAAATACTGAGTTCGTGTATCCATTCCCTGCTTCCCGCCAAGGAGGTTCTTCTCCTGCCTCAAGAAGCACTACACTAAACTCACCGTCGTCCGCTAAAGGATTGTAGCTGAATCTTGATGATACAGCTCCTATGGCACACTGTTGTGGAAGGTGCACTCTGTTGTCAACACCGTTGTTCAAGTGTGCCGACGGCTCAGCGAGGACAGTCGCAAACAGAAGCAGAATTCCACAAGCAGACGACATCACTGAAATCACGAAATTTCCAAGAAAACTTCACTGCAAGTTTCACTTAGGTTTGAGTCAGTTCTTCGCCGACGTATCCTTGATGGTATCTCCGGGCGCAAGCCAGCCTGGGGTCGACGTCAGAGTGTGTTGTAATGATGACAGTGACGTTACAATCCCCCCGCTACAGCCCCGCGACTAATGGCCTCTCGTTCGAGAACACACTGACGATGGATTGTCACCGCCTTATATATCGGGAACAGCCCAAAATACGGTTATTCTTCACAACTGTCACCAAATGTGATTGATAACAATTCACAATGACTGATTCAATGTCGTCTGCTCTTTCTTTTAAACCTCTGCCAGCGGTGGTTATTTAAACGATGATATCAATAGTTCAGCTTGGACAAGGGGGTTGGACTGACAGTGATTAATCATAAAACCTTGCTCGTAAACATTGCGGAAAAGCTTTTTTTTTCTACCGAATATCCTCCCGCAAGTGCCCCAGCATGTTTTAATACACGTTTCTCATTAGCCATTAATGTTGTGTTTATTACGTTTCATGTACCCGATGTTGAATATCACTTATTTGCACTCGATGTTTCCCACGGGCTTCTGAGAGACGATTGCTGCTTTCTAGGATGAGTGGTGCAGGATTCCCAATTTGGTTAAGCCACAGGCCCATATATGGTACTGATGAACCCAGAAACATGATCGAACCTACAACTATAGGGATCTTGATGCCCAAGGGACGCAACTCAGCGAAAAACTGCGAATTGAATGAGAGTGGGGTGCTGGAGCAAAAGGGAAAGTGAGAAGTGGAAGAAAAAGGGAAAGTAGAACTAAGAATGGGATTCGATTGATGCTTGAACTAACATGGAGTGTTTGGACTGAGCGCTGGTCAAGAAGGAGACTGTTTCATTAAATGCAACTGAGAGAGGTTGTCGCCAGATTGGCATGTCTTACACATGTAGTCGAGAAAACAGGTCTGTATATAACAAAGGGTCTTGTTTTGGTTTGCAGTTGCTTCACTCACCTAACATCACTGTGGAAATACGGTCAACTGTTGTGTGAATAATTAACGGTCCGCCTTTGACAGACGATAGTTGGTTCGGAACCCCCACACGGCAATGGGACAACGTTCTCTTCGTCCGAGTGGTCAGCTATATCGGTGCGTTGAATAGGTTGAAACCATACCTGTTGTTACAGAGTCTTCGCATGCTCCAAAAATCATCCCTTCATAATCTACTTATTATTGCATAATCTGCAGGGGCGGATCCAGGGGTTGGAGAAGGGGGGTGCACATAAATCATGAAGTCCAAAGGTTAGGGGAAATGCTCCTCATGGAAAAAAATCGAGGGAGAAGGGGGTGGGAGGGGGATAGACACCCCCGCACGGCGCTCTTGACGGTGCTCTTCCCTTAATCGTGGCAGGATCCGATGATCATTGTCCTTATCTTGCATTTTAAACATGACTTACTTATTTTGTAAGCATGGAATGCATTGTAAAAATAGGTTTTCTTCAGTATCAGCGTGCATTTGATGCATTTGATAGTGCTCGCGTCCCTTAGTTGAGTCAGGATCTGATGGTCAGGGAATAAAGATCAGATTATGACTTCTACATGTAAACATGTTACATTTTTCTTTCAATATTACACCAAATCTTTCAAACACTTGACGGCGCTGGCATCTGTTAGTCGTGTCGTGGATTAATTTAATAAATATATTTAATAAATCGTTGCCCAAAACATTACGGATAATCTATTACTATCCGGCAATATATATGTAACTCAATCACGGTCTTTTAATCACGATGAATCCACGGAGAAAAAGAACAGTTGTTTCGCAAATGACATACTTGTCGTCATGATAAATGCATTAAATATGCAAATAAGCCTTGCGTTTCCAATATGAAAGTAAAATTAATTTCCACGTCAGCTGGCTTGATTGATGGCTTGAGAAATAAAATGTGTTACCGTGATGTAGCCGTGAGTTTTGTTACTCCACACCTGACAACAATTAGGTGTTTGTTTTGGTAGAATGTTCGTTTGCTTGTTGTTATTCTTTCTTTGTTTAAAAGGGTTATATTTATTTATTTTTAATTTTTTATATTTTATTTAATTTTTTTATTTATCATTATTATTATTATTATTATATTTGGGGCGGTGTTAGGAGGGTTGCTTAAAATAAGAAAAAGAATTGGGAGGGGGAGTGGTGTTTTTTTTCCTGTTTTGCTGTTTCTTACATACAACATTTCATGGACCACTTTGTTAAGGCAATTTTAGAAGGCAATTTGCTGAGGGCCTGTTATGAGGTGGAATCTTCATAGGTTATTGACAACATTAAACTTGTTATTATAAATATCTAGATTACAGCAAGATTCTACATACCTACTGGACTTCATGACATGTAATATGCTAGCGGATGACATAGGTAATATTGACATTTTCAAACCTGTCTCCTGTATACTCTCATCGTATCACCGGCTAGGCTGATTTTACACCACTGTTTGTATCAGGCCATAGACATTATACCGTATTTCCTTTAATAAGTGTCGGACGCCACGAAGCGCCGGTAACGAAACAATTTACAACACAAGAAGCGCGTTACCCGTAAAGATCCGGGTGAGAATTGGTCTCCAGCGACAGATGCTTGTCGTACGAGGCTATGAACGGATCGGTTGGTCAGGCTCACTGACTCGGTTCATCAATGACCATGATGCAAATCACTGGAATGTGTGGTCCAGCCTAAATTATTTACAGACGGAATATTGCTGAGTGCAGAGTTAAACAACAGTGAGTCAGTCAGTCAGTCAGTATGGTTTAAGGCCGCTTTTAGCAATATCACTGCGGGTTAGACCAGAAATGGGCCTCTTACGACAAGCATGGGTTACTGAAGATCAATATTCTAACCCGGGCCTTCACGGGTCTTGAAGAGACCTGAGTAAATAGTTGTTTCCAAGCTAATACGAGTTTTCCAATGTTTGACACAACCGGAAATAAGAACTCAATAAGGAATATGTAGGGACCATGCTACATTCGACACATCAATATCCGACACCGTAGCCAGGACATTCTTTAGCCGGTTTTAGCCCTAGTCTTTAAGGCTTTAAGAGAAATAAATATAGTACAATAAATTACAGATATGGTTGATGTTCTCTGCATGTAAAACACAAAACCTGTATTTCTTCAGTTAACAAATGATACACACCATTTTTGTTGCAATTCATTAATCACCACATGTAAGTTGAATATAATAGACAGATATCTAGTCGAATATAATAGACAGATATCTAGTCGAATATAATAGACAGATATCTAGTCGAATACAATAGACAGATATCTAGTCGAATATAATAGATAGATATCTAGTCGAATATAATAGATAGATATCTAGTCGAATATAACAGACAGATATCTAGTCGAACATAACAGACAGATATCTAGTCGAATATAATAGACAGATATCTAGTCGAATATAATAGACCGATATCTAGTCGAATAAAATAGACAGATATCTAGGCCAAAATAATAGACAGATATCTAGTCGAATATAATAGACAGATATCTAGTCGAATATAATAGACAGATATCTAGTCGAATATAATAGACAGAGAGATATCTAGTCGAATATAACAGACAGATATCTAGTCGAATATAATAGATAGATATCTAGTCGAATATAATAGAAAGATATCTAGTCGAATATAATAGATAGATATCTAGTCGAATATAATAGACAGATATCTAGTCGAATATAATAGACAGATATCTAGTCGAATATAATAGACATATCTAGTCGAATACAATAGACAGATATCTAGTCGAATATAATAGACAGATATCTAGTCGAATACAATAGACAGATATCTAGTCGAATATAACAGACAGATATCTAGTCGAATATAATAGACAGATATCTAGTCGAATATAACAGACAGATATCTAGTCGAATATAATAGACAGATATCTAGTCGAATATAATAGACAGATATCTAGTCGCATATAATAGACAAATATCTAGTCGAATATAACAGACAGATATCTAGTCGAATTTAACAGACAGATATCTAGTCGAATATAACAGACAGATATCTAGTCGAATATAATAGACAGATATCTAGTCGAATATAACAGACAGATATCTAGTCGAATATAACAGACAGATATCTAGTCGAATATAACAGACAGATATCTAGTCGAATATAATAGACAGATATCTAGTCGAATATAATAGACAGATATCTAGTCGCATATAATAGACAAATATCTAGTCGAATATAACAGACAGATATCTAGTCGAATTTAACAGACAGATATCTAGTCGAATATAACAGACAGATATCTAGTCGAATATAATAGACAGATATCTAGTCGAATATAACAGACAGATATCTAGTCGAATATAACAGACAGATATCTAGTTGAATATAATAGACAGATATCTAGTCGAATATAATAGACAGATATCTAGTCGAATATAATAGACAAATATCTAGTCGAATATAACAGACAGATATCTAGTCGAATACAACAGACAGATATCTAGTCGAATATAACAGACAGATATCTAGTCGAATATAATAGACAGATATCTAGTCGAATATAATAGACAGATATCTAGTCGAATATAACAGACAGATATCTAGTCGAATATAACAGACAGATATCTAGTTGAATATAACAGACAGATATCTAGTCGAATATAATAGACAGATATCTAGTCGAATATAACAGATAGATATCTAGTCGAATATAATAGACAGATATCTAGTCGAATATAATAGACAGATATCTAGTCGAATATAACAGACAGATATCTAGTCGAATATAACAGACAGATATCTAGTCGAATATAATAGACAGATATCTAGTCGAATATAACAGACAGATATCTAGTCGAATATAATAGACAGATATCTAGTCGAATATAACAGACAGATATCTAGTCGAATATAATAGACAGATATCTAGTCGAATATAATAGACAGATATCTAGTCGAATATAACAGACAGATATCTAGTCGAATATAATAGACAGATATCTAGTCGAATATAATAGACAGATATCTAGTCGAATATAACAGACAGATATCTAGTCGAATATAACAGACATATCTAGTCGAATATAATAGACAGATATCTAGTCGAATATAATACAGATATCTAGTCGAATATAATAGACCGATATCTAGTCGAATATAACAGACAGATATCTAGTTGAATATAACAGACAGATATCTCGTCGAATATAATAGACAGATATCTAGTTGAATATAATAGACAGATATCTAGTCGAATATAATAGACAGAGCCCCCCTCTTTTAAAACGCCAAAAAAATCTTCAATGTGGTCTTAAGTCAATTGGTGTGTGTGTGTGTGTGTGTGTGTGTGTGTGTCGAACCCCTACTCTGGATTCGCCAATGTCAGTTGAGATATTATTCTGATTTGAATCAGGTGGAGGGGTGGAGGGGTGTTTAAAGGGCGCTGCCGAGTTGTGACTCATATTTCTTCTTGTTTAACAGTCATTGCCATGAACAAGAGTTGATCTTGGGTTCGACCCAGGCTGTGTAGGGTCGAATCATTACCCACGTCTCATTTCTGTCATTTATCAGCCCATTCCTCTAGCAAGTGGTTATATTTTATGCAGATAAACCATTGCATTTTAGTATATACTTTAATACCTGGGAGAAATGCCTAAGAAATGTTCCCGATTTTGCACCTGGTTTTGACCTTTGTTACTCATGAGATTTTCAAGTTGCAGATGCACCGGGGGCCAGTTCATAGACTTACGGTCAGCCAGAGGGACAGAGGACACCTGACATTTGTACAATTGTCTTTCAGTCAGTAGAATGTGAGCCTCCACCTCTGCCAACAGTCCTGGAGTTGATGCCTCGGTAAAGACAGCTCCTCTGGATTCCCAAACAAGGAACATATATTCTCAACAAATAAAATTAGTGATCATGAATATTTCTTGAAACTGACTGAGCACTGGTTCTTCTGTAGTCTCTCCACTGAGGGGCATATATACTGAACCTAAAAAATAGGGAACATGATTATATTTTTGTGTGAACTGAGCACATAATTTCATAAAATATCTCTCAAAACAGCTGTAACTTTTTTGTTCAGTATATATGCAGTAAAAAGAAACACAAGACGTCAGTTAAAGCAACTATAATGTAACTTTATTTGTTAACAAAAAGCATCATCATATAAAATTCAGAAAAAATCAATAATAAATTTTCATTCAGATAACAATGGGCAAATGTCGCCTGAAATATATTATCATCACAGTATTCATTGAGCAGTTTGATTGGTCAGATGATTCTTGCTCTTGATTGGATGGACAGATCACATAACCCTGTACACTGACAATCATTGGTCCAAACAGTAACAACAAAGAACATTGTGCCCGGAATATTAGCTTCAGCATTTGACAGACATTATGAAGTAGCATGATTACTGTGAACAGTGTCAACACCTTTCAGTGATCAAATAAAGACAGTGACTACTGATATGAGAGGGGAGAAAACCCTTTGATGTGTGATTCAAACAAACGTTCAGGTAGTACATATCTGTCAGTTCATTCATTCACTCTACTGAGCCTACTATTTTTAGATAACTTTCAAACGTGGAGTTTTCTTCTAAATCTTATCATAAATCTATTCTGTCCAAAAACACAGCCTATCATTTAAGAAACTCTGTTAACGTAGAGAGGTTCACGGTTTACTGTCTCTTGGCAGAGATAGCACAGGAACAGAAACATTTCAAAAAATAAAAAATCATTAGTACTTATTTGTTGGATTTGGAATTTATAAACATTTACAGAAAATTAACTAATAAAATTCAAAGAAACAGTAAGTCATTATTTTTGGATTGACCAAGTGTATTTTGAACTTGAGTTCTCGATGGTAAAACAACCAGTCAAATGCCCCTTAAAGTTCTTATGGTTCAGTTTTATAACAGCACGAATCTGCTCGCTATCCTTTCTAAATGTTACATATTACATATTTCTTTTTCTGTAGTATTCCAGTAAATAGATGGTATACATGCTGTGAAGGATCGAAAGATCTGACCCTTCATGAAATAACAGTTCAGATATTCATGGATGTACACATTGCATACTGTAGAAAAAACGTTATGGATCATGAATATATTTGGGAAATTTTTCGCAATGAAGCTCGAGCACAAATTTTCATAAAAATATGCACCAAAATATTCATGATTCCTAACTTTTTTTTCCTTCAGTATAGTATTATGAGAGGGCACAGGTACCTACTCAACTGAGAATGTAAATTGTGAGATCGGTTATACAGGAAGGCACCATGTGCAGCTATATACAAATAATTAACCGGCATTACTTCCGTTTATCACATCCCCAGGACCCTCAAACCTTAATTCTCCATTTTTATCTTTACACATATTTTTGTACATGCTAGTCTTAATCAAAACCCAATTTCAAGAAAATGCTGATAGTTTTAGCAGTTACAATATAAACCTCGAACTTGACGCTGACACAAAACTGCTTGGAACATATTGAAAAAAGAATTGACACAGGAGTATCTGAATGGTATTAATAAAGATCAAATTTTAAGGCCTGGGGTGATGTGAATCACATGGAAAAGTTGCCTTGTCTACAATATACAACAAAGGGGAGTGTTTCTCTAGTATATCAATGTTACACGCATGCACATGATTAAAGCATGGAAATGAAAAACTTATAAGCTACACACGCTTACTGAGACAATATAGATATAACATTTGGTGTATGAAGTTTGATAAGCAAAACAACTGACACTTTAAATAATTATCTGTCACATTTCAGTTCTTTGACACAGTATTTTATATAAATACACCATTAAGTGATAGAGTGAGTATGGTTTGAGACCACTTTTAGCAATATTCCTGCAACTCACCGTACCTATGTGAAGAAATGAACCTGGGTCTGAATCATGACAAGTGAACGCTTTAACCACATGGCTACACCACCATCCTTGAATATTCAGACGAGAATAAGTACAGTTGCCAAGTTAGTATAAAGAGACTATCAAGTAGATCAGTAAACTAAAAAAACATTCTTTAACAATTTAATCATAATCCGTAATAGGACATATGTACGCTTTCTGAGAGTCTGATATTTGTCCTCAATTTTCATAGTCAGGTTTAACATAACATGTTCAGTTTTGACAATGTTGCACTTACTTTAATATTAGAATATTAAGTATAACAATATAAGATCTTTCTTAAATTCCAGATCTGGGACAAAATCAGATGTTTTTCCACAATTTTCCCACCATGGGCAAGTAGTTTACAACCATGCGGGAGCTGTCTCAATCAGTTCATATACCCTTTGACAAACATGTTTTTTTTTAAAATAATGAGCACAAAGACCAAGTATACATTAAAATATGGTATAAAAGGTGACAATGATTCTCCATTCTGTAAAACATGAGTAAAACCAATAATCACAAGAAATGAAGCAGATATCATAGACAATCATTTAAAAGTTAATTCTTATATCGTACATTCTAATCCATTTTTCAAATAAGATTTTGATAATACACTTGATTTCTTTGATTCATATATGCATAAAAATATTTTACAAATGACTAGAAAAAACGTCAATTATTTCTTTGATATGGTGTCTTCATTATAGTCAGTCCAAATTGACTTTAACATATCTGTGTGTTTATGGAGTTATAAACGTAAAAACAGATGTGCATATGGTGTAAACAGCTATGTTTATTATAAAATAAATATTCTTAAGTAGCACCTTGCAAGATGTATCTTTATCAATAAAGTGTTTTTATCACTCAGCATAAATAAATGCCTTGAAGATACAGAGAAAAACAAATGAGATCTAACAATGTCAGAGTTTGTGAGTGAGTGAATATAGATTTATGCTACTTTGAATTCCAGGATATTTCATCAACACCATGGCAGGGGACACCAGAGATGGACTTCAAACATTATAACCAGATGGGGAATTGAACAAGTTTCCACCTTTGCAGAACTAGGCTTGAATTTCAGAGATTGATTCTATCTGTGCCTCCAGTGGTCATGAGTTATGTCCCTTGTATGTCTCTCATTTTGGCCAATCAGATTCTACCAGTCACAGTACTTTGGTTTGCGTCAAACGAAATAGTGGACCCTGATCAAGATGATCTGTTCAATAATCAAGACCCATAGAGCAACAAAATTGGTCTTACTTCATGAAGTATATCAGCTTACTTTCACTGAAAACATGAACAGATTTGGAAAATATCTGTTCACATCTATTATAGTTACAAAAGATTTACAAATTCTTCAATGGGCCAAAATATGCATGGCAGTTGACAAACTAAATGAGAATTTTGACTGGGCCATCCATAGACTCAATTGTCCAGCCAAATATAACTCCAACTTTTAGACCAGTTCGACAAGAGTGGAAACAGGACTTTAACAGTCAGTTATCTCCCTTGCTTCGGGATGATTTGAAATTTCCTTATGATCTCACAGGAAATTCACAAATACAGACCAAGAGATCTATTGCTTGATGACTACATACAGATTAAGTAATCATAAGGTTTTAAAAACCCAATGTTATTGCTTGAGTTCACGTTATACGTATTCATGTTGTTTTATGTACTTCAACACACAGGATGTAGTCCAAGGATAAATGGAATGATTTCACTGAGGTACACATGGTTAAGTGGTTAGTCTACATGAATACAGATAATAAATATAATGTTAGCGATTCATGCATGATAAAACCCCATGTTCTAATTTGCATATGTCATCTTCTAATATTAATCATTTCTGTTAAAAGTAGCCATGAAAATTACCATCAACCATGTAAGAAAGATTTGCTCAATATCATCACAAAAATACCCTCAAATGTACATAAGTTCCACAATATATTTAAAAAATGACTTCACCATCTGCACAAAAACAATTTTTTCAGTATTAATGACACTTAATAAAGATACTCCAATTCCACAATACACAATTTCACAGATAATACATTAAAACAGTTGTTTTCAAATTTAAGACACAGTTATAAGGTGTAGATACAAGCTGAAAATATTATACAAGACTAATCATGATAGTGATAGAAATAACAGACTTCATGAATCTCCAGTAAGGGAGCAATAATTTCCTAACACTGACAAGTGATCCCTCCCCACAGGCATGACAGCCATACACTGATCTGACCCTGATGTCTGGTCTCACACACAGACATATACCTGCCAGCCCTAGATACATTCAACATACACAAACAAAACTACAAACATTCAATATAACCATAAAAAACTGATAAGTTGTGATTTCTTATTTGATTCTTGATAAAAAGAATCCCTTCAGGCAAAGTATTGCGTGACCATGAGGTTTGTCCCCATCTATCGTATTGATATACGGATCCCTAACACATGAAACATACCTTTCTAATATTGATGCTGGTATACGCTCATATCTGATTGTCAGTTGGACACACCCCCTTCCTGTGTGCCCTCATACCTCTATAGTTCATGAGCTTATGTTTTACTTAATGACTGTGAAGATTAATTAATGACATATGTTTTATTCTGGAGTGATTCCAAATCTCATCCCTGTATCACAAGGAAAATATTCACTTTGCTCAGCCTACAACCATTGAGAATATTCAACACAACATGTTTCAGTTTCAATACCAAGCTGTGATAGAACTATTTCAGCAAATATGACAAAAGTCAAGACAGTCTAAAAGCTAAATATTACAGTCTGTCAAGAACACAAAGACACATCAAACACAACAGCAACAGGAAATAACACTTTGAAAACAGGCTCACTCTTAAAGCATTAATCACGTGAACATTCACAATTTATGCTGAAGATGCACATTTTCCCTGACTAAAGTCTAATACTAGAGCTATCTAATACTATGGAAACACAAAAGGTCACCAAGCTTACCTACTTGTAATAAGACAGTACAACACTTTGATTCTGGTATCACAGTTGGAGAGCAACAAGTCGTGGGACAGAAATTAACATGATCCCACCAGCTGGAACCAATTTGGGTAAGTGTTTCCTAACAACTCTTAGAACATTTAATTTTGGTGGTGCTCCTATAACTTGTCACAACTGGGTCTTACAGACTAACATTAGCTTTTGAAATGAACATATTTTACTGTAAAAACAGTTCTGATCATTCAAAATTATAAACTATAACAAAGAAGAGGCCAGAGGCCACATATTCTAGACTTGTACATTCTGTACTAGATATATGTATTTCAGGGTCTGTTTGGCAGACTAGAGCTAGCAGTTCCTGGTTAATTTCTATCCCTGTAAAATTAAGTTGACTTCACATCATTTAGATACGTTGACAAATTCAACAGTCCTTTCTCTTTAAGAATATTTCTGAATTTGTTTGAAGAAATATTGTAAGAAGATATGTATATACATGTATCACTCATTAAGTATCACCTTACACAATTCCAGGGTTGCCAGTTTACGTAAGTTTAATTAACTCCCAAATATATCATAGAATATGCATCAGTAATTCAAAAATGATCACACCCACAAAAACTATATGTAATTCTGGTTCAAGATCAATAAATCTAATTTTTCCACTGTATTTGTAAAGACTGCTACTGAGCATGTAACACGTACACTTGAGTAGCCACTGATGCATAGTCTAGTGATACAGTGACAGAATCGACACTCTCTACCAACATACAATAAGGCTGACTGACTGAGTTTGGTTTTACGCCGCTTTTAGCAATATTCCAGCAACATCACGGCGGGGGACACCAGAAATGGGCTTCACACATTGTACCCATGTGGGGATTCAAACCCGGGTCTTCGGCGTGACGAGCCAACGCTTTAACCACTAGGCCACCCCACCACCCCACATACAATAAGGAGTAGCTTTAGCAGCCCTTATTATGTATTAGTGGATTTATGAGAGACTGACAAAAATACCATGAAATGTTTTTAAAAAGCAGTTTGTAAGAAACAGTGTATAATTCCATCAAAACAAAATATTTCTTGTTACTCATAAAAGCCCCATCAGTTATCTTGTGGTATAATTTCACAAACATGCATCCATAATGGTGTGACCTAGAAGTTTGTTTACATTTATAAGTAGCAGTTATATTTACTTTTTTTTTTTTTAAGGAAGTAACCATCTACACTGAATCTGAAGACAAAATGTTTACAGCAACTAAATACAATAAAGGTCCTCATTGAATGATTACTATTGCATATGTATCATACACAGTGTTGAGCAAATGTCATGCATTCATATAACCTAATTTTTGACAATTTGTTTTAAATAACTTGACCTTTATTTTAAAACTTAATTCATAACTCTTAGCCTGACGATTTGATTTGCACTTATTAATTATGCAAGGAAAATATGCCAAAACATTTGCAAGTCAAGCCAGATTTTATGTAAATCATATATTTTGAATCTTCTTATTCAATGTTTTCACATTCAAACAACCTAAATAGTCAAAAGATTAACTTATTTCTATTATTCTACCTATTTCATGTTTGCCCGAAACAGTTCAAAACTGAAAGTGGCATCAGAAAACTTTCAAACATACTGAATGAAAGAAGGAAGAAATCATGAATTTTGGGGGGATATATTTATAGGTGAAGATGCAGGACACAATTTCAAATTTAACATATACAATTATTTCATTGTCATTAACTATGTTTGCTTAACATACTTTGAGACCAACCACAGATGAAGAATGATTTTGAAAGGTCATGAGAGTTTGACAAACATGCCAGGTCATGAGTCATGGCTCTCCCTATAAGGTAATAAATGTCACTAGACAGATATCTACTGATTGCACTTCCTGAACCTGACATGAAATCATTTCATCTGAATCATGAAATCACTCCTATCCTTACCAGCCATTTTAAACAATAACAAACATTTAAAACTTGACACCATTGACTAGGGAAGTGGTTGTATGTGACGTCATCTCCACCTGGACTATAAACTATTTGTTTGATGTATTATTGCTCTTTGGTAACACATCATCCGCAGGTATGACATAAATGCTACGAAAAAAGGATATAACTGTCATATCCAACTGACAGTAGCGGTGAACCGAGGTCAAGGGGTACAATGTATCCAGCTCCCTATGTGACAACATTAGAGAAATGGGAGAATTATGGAGGCTATTACCGTCATAGTTCATCATCAGCGTGGTACTGCTGTATAATACCTTTGTAGACAATTCTTAACATTAACATTTGATCCCTCCTCATTTGAGTGAGTGAGTTTGGTTTTACGCTGCTTTTTTGAAATTAAGAAGCATGTATTTAGTGACTGGTGGGACAGACAAGACCGTAGTCGGGTGATGTACAACTAACAATGGTACACTAAAAGTCAAATCATCAAAGCATAATAACACCTAACAAGCATCAATGGGGGAAACTTAATGTCAATTTCCGTAATTTGAGTAAAGCGACATTTCGAGTATATTCTTACCCCTTCATTAATTACCTAATGAATGTGGAAGAATAAACTCTGCAACATCGTGTTCGTCATATCAATTTCCCCTTCATGTGTATCACTTCTAAGTGCCATTCTAAGATTCTAAAGAGCATTTATTTGCTATTCTCCTCGTATCACACATAACTAATACTGATAATCCTTCCCACACTGTTGACTTCATGCATGTAACACCAACAATCTGGAATACTGCCTGAATTACAGCCATTGTGGAAACTCAGAGGTATTTCATGAAGTGTGGTGTTTATCTGTGATAAGTTGAGGTTCCTATTCTCGTTCGTCTAGAATCTTGAGAATGTCGGCACAGCCTGTCTGGGCTGTCTTCACGGCTTCATTGATTTCACTCTCAGTCTGAAAAATAGAACAGGTGTTCTTTTAAAACAGTGTCATGACACCTACCTGGATGACACCTACATGAATACACAATGACTTTGATATGTAAGGAAGGATAACAATATATGGATGAACAACTTCTTTATTACAGTAAGAGCAAAGTTGTTCATTCATATTTTGTTATCCTTCCTTATTGTTCCAACGTCTAAATGTGACTAAAAGAAGTTATACTCAGACATTTAGTCAGCAATGTACAATATCAAATTGTGTTGATATATTTGACATCAAAAGACACTCAGTGAGATTCTTTATCATTTACTCATGGGTGAAAAATACAACCTACAAAAACACCCTCTAAAACAATTCTATAATTTGCTGTTGTTCTAAATCCCACTCCCAGGAAGAGGCGATGTCTTACCTTTTCTCTGTACACATCATCCTTGATGTCCTTCAGGTTTGTCTTAACGTTATAGTAGGCTCCCCACACACCTGTCTCTAGGGCTCGCACACCCACCTACAATAGATAAACAATGCAGTTTTACTGAGGATTAATCATAGAATTAAAGCCCTAATATTTTCAAAGTTTCTCATAAATTCTTAATGTTTCTCATAAACTTCATCATACTTAACCCAATCTTTACTGGATATAGAACAGTGGAGATAAGATGTGAGGACTGTAGTAGCTATTGGGCTAAGTAATACCTGTAGGTCTGACTTGCAGTTGATGTTTCCGATCTTGGCGATCTCGGTGAGATGAGGCCACAGAGAGTTGACGATCCGTGCAACACACAGCGGCACCTGGACTGCAGTCAGCAGGCCGCGCTGCATGGCGATCTCACGACTGCAATACAAGCAGCATGATAATATCACAACTAGAGATGGAGTGACTGTATCTTGCCTTGAACTGGTGTTTACAACACTGTAGCCATCTTGTATCATGGGTCAGTGAAAGTGAGTTTGGCAAAGTTTGAAGATAAAAACAGGAATGTCTCTAAGGCATGGATTCATCACTTTAAATCCTATGTGTCAGTCATTTTTATTGCTTATGACAAAACATATTTTGAGTGGCATAAAAAGCCATCTTAAGGAACACAAATGTTTGCTACTGTATTGGGGAGACAAGCAAAGTGTTTCAAGTTTTGTTTGTTTGTTTTCTTGATCAGAAAAAAAATAAGTACCCTCACTACTCTAATATAAGACCATAATATCAACAAAAGTCCAGACAAGATACACTGACTGACTGTCCAGACAAGCCCTCACATACAACCCGGTCTTCGCGCGGCGAGCCAACGCTTTAACCACTGGCAACTGCCCCCTCACATACACACGGGCAAGAACGTCACTGTATGAAAGAAATAATCCTGAACCTTGAATCTCCAATAACTCAATGAAATTAGGAAAGCTTTGTTGTTGGGCATAACAGTGACTGAACATACATATGTCACCCAGTGTTGGTTCAAATGTTGGAGACCGCCTCCGTGGTGTAGTGGTTAGAGCGTCCGCCTGAGAGCGGAAGGTCGCGGGTTCGATCCCCGACTGCGTCATACCAAAAGACGTTAAAATATGGTACTTGTTGGTCCCTGCCTGGCGCTCGGCATTAATGGGTACAACAAGGACTGGTCGGCTTGGAGTCAGTATAATGTGTCTGAGTGGGGTATTCATGCTTCACTGCATGGTATCTCTGTGGGCTAGCACTATAAAACCAGCTTCAGTCTGGGCTAGTACAAGCAGCCGCACATACACATACACACGCATGCACGTCGTCATATGAGCTGAAATATTCATGCACGCGCTAAACCATACCTCACCTCAAATGTTGGAATAACATTAACTATATCTCTAGGGTGGGTCAATCACCGCACAACAACTACCCAATTTCAGGTAGCAGTTGTCTCCTCTTTGAACCTTCCAGTAACTCTGTAACATGTTGGAATCAACCATATATGACCTGGAACATATAAAACTGAATTCATAAAACCAGAGTATTACTCAATCATCATCCCATGATGGGTTCATAATGTTGGAACTACCTTCTTCTGTCTTACTACAGGTAGAAAACAGTAAAGTGAGAAAGCACGCTCTCCTGAACTTTTTAACACTTCCAGTAACTGATTCTGTTGGTCATGTAAACTTCATAATTTTCAATGTACCCCGCTTACTCAGAACATTTCAATGTACCCCGCTTCGTAATGGCAACCCATTTGGTAATCAGTAATTCATCCCATGATGGGATTCATAATGTTGGACTTACAGTTGAAGAATCTTCTTCTGTCTTATGGGATAGTTTGACAGCCAGCTGTAAAAAAACATCCGGTAAGATAATACGCTGTTCAGAAAGCATGTTTAGCAGTTACAACAATGAACTATTTAGACAAATATTAGCAGTGTAACAATACCCGGATATGTATACAATGCATAAACAGCCCCTGCCTTGTTATTCATATGATACAGTACATTAAAACTGGTACTTGTGTAAAATCAGGAGGGGCGGTGGGGTTAAAGCATTTGCTCGTCACGCCGAGACCTGGGTTTGATTCCCCATATGGGTATAATTTGTGAAACCCATTTCAGGTGTCCCCTGCCGGGATATTGCTGAGATATTGCTAAAAGCGTCGCAAAACTAGACTCACTCACACACACTCTTAAATATCTGTAAGAAGAAAGAACATATACCTGAAACAGAAGTACTGTGTCGGGATATACATCGTATATCCCATAGTATGGAGAAAGTGTTGTAAAATAACCACACCTCCTCACACACCTCACCAATATCGACAACTCACTCAAAATACATACAACAAAGAATACTTGTTTGGTTATGATAACAAATCCTCTTGCACACACCCCAACCATAATGTTCCAGTATGACATGCAAAGTAAGAGTAGTCTCCCTTTGTTGTATTGTTAGGTTTCAGAAGTCAGACCATTGGCTCCATGGTGTGAGTCTGTGACAAATACTGAATGAATCCAGACTTACTGACTGACTGAGTTTGGTTTTATGCCGCTTTTAGCAATATTCCAGCAACATTACGGCGGGGGACACCAGAAATGGGCTTCACACATTGTACCCATGTGGGGATTCAAACCCGGGTCTTCGGCGTGACAAGCCAACACTTTAACCACACCCCACCAGCCCCTGAATGAATCCAGTTTATGTGCACTTGATAATGAAAGTAATGATTGGCTTCATAAAGTATAGTAACTTTCTGCAAAGAAAGAAAAGACTTGTGAAAGAGAAAATTATAGTTCTTTAAAGCATTTATAGATGTAGTTGAATGCCAAACTCAGCAAAGTTCCAGCTATGACAGTTGCCTTTAAGAAATCGACTCGGTGTCAGAGGTGAGGTGAGGTGAAATTGGGTTTAACATCGTGCTTGAGAATATTTCACTCATATGACGACATGCATGCGTGTGTATGTGTATGTGCGGCTGCTTGTACTAGCCCAGACTTAAGCTGGTTTTATAGTGCGAGCTCACTGAGATACCATGTCGCAGTGAAGCATGAATACCCCACTCAGACACATTATACTGACTCCAAGCCGACCAGTCCTTGTTGTACCCAGTAATGCCGAACGCCAGGCAGGGACCAACAAGTACCATATTTTAACGTCTTTTGGTATGATGCGGTCGGGGATCGAACCAGCGACCTTCCGCTCTCCGGGCGGACGCTCTAACCACTACACCACGGAGGCGGTCCGATTCAGGGTCAGAAAATCCAGTGATCAACAATCAACATTGTGAACAATGATCTGTAACATCAGGGCACAACAACTCTCTAATGACCAAGTCACCAAGTCTGAACATTCTCTCCATTTTGTCTCCTCTTTTGACCAGCACTTTTGACCAGTCAAAAACGTTTGATGTTCATGTTAACTTGTTAAAGAAATGCATGTCAAATGTAATCCCACACTATTTGGCAGACATCAGATCAGGACATACAAAGCCACCTTGTAACAGATTTCAAAAAGCTTTTAAGGAGTGAGTGAGTGGGTATGGTTTTACACCGCTTTTAGCAATATTCCAGCAATATCACGGCGGGGGACACCAGAAATGGGCTTCACACATTGTACCCATGTGGGGAATTGAACCCGGGTCTTCGGCGTGACGAGTTATTAAGGAAGAGCCAGTGCATTTTTTCTTCATGAAAACAACTTTCATATTATCTCTATGAAGTCATTTTCAAAATATTGTGCTAGCCTACATTTTCACTTGCACCAAACCAAATCAAAAACATGTTGTTGGCGTGATGAGCGAACGCTTTCACCACTAGGCTACCCCACCGCCCCAGCTGGTTATGACAGACCACTACTTGGATTAGGCTGGTATGCTCAGAGTCTTTGTGGAATATATGTCAACCTTCATTTCCTCACAATATCAATCAAGAGATTGTTTGGCCCAAATTATCATCATCATCATCATCATCATCATCATCATCATCATCATCATCATCATCATCATCATCAAAAGGCCAATGTCATACAGCTGGAATATTGCAAAATGAGGCAAAATACAACTAACCCCTCACCCCTCACCTTTACACAGAGACGGACAGACATGCACGCACCAATACACACACACATATTTATAGGACGCCACTGCCACATTCACTGTCCAAGAAACTGAAGGATAGAACTATTATTGTGCTTTTAAGAGTCACTGACCATGTATTCACTGAAAGCGCCAGCGTCAGCATCGATGAAGGGGATGAGATCCTTCATGGCGGTGTACACAGGAGGGATAACTTTCCTCATCTGAGGGTCAAGGTCGGCAAACTTGCGGTTCCCATACGTCAAGAATCCAACCATAGCACCTAGGGCTGCTCCCTGGGTCAGACACAAAGATCTGGTTTAAGTTAGCAGACAGACGTGGTATGAACATTAAGGCCTTATGCAAAAGTTTTGCAATATCAAAATATGAGACACTGAAATGACTCTATATATAATGTACCCACGGTAGAAATCAAATCCTGATCTTCGAGATGGCTGACCCGCCTCTGGGAACGGTGACTAACCACCATTGTTACAGAGACAAGAGAGCAGGGCTCCAGATAATTTTTCAACATCAGGGGTACCTATGTACTCCTTATGTTTTCAATATAGGAGTACTGGAAAAACTTAAGAGTACATTTAGAGTACAGAATGGAATTTAATGGAGTATCAGTAATCTTGTGTTTCGTTTCATCAAACCGAAACAAGTCTCATTAACCTATTCAGACAATGACCTACTTTTCAGCCGATCCGAATTTTCTCGTGTGATAGTGAAAATAGACATCACAAACAACTATGGTTACACTGAATTCCAATTCCTTGTTTCATAAGAAAATGGTATTTACAAATGAATTTTAATTTTAAACTTTAATAACATCGTATTTCTATATTTTAATGGTAAGGTGTAGGCAGCACGACCTTAAATAAGATGTCACAGACTGACCCAGTTTGATTAGGTCATAAATGGTTCAAAATGCATCTGGCTCACTGGTTACACCTGTTATGTGTTTTTTGCACTTATTCAGTGTAGTTCTGTAACGCACAATGTGATTGATATAATATCAAGTCCATACCAGACCGTCAAACTTTTCTAGCGGCAGAGCCTCGTTTTGAGATTTCCACGATTTCCAGGTTTCTGTTTGTCAGTGCTCGCAGTACGACAGAGCACGCTGCACGACATGTTTGCAAGGATTATAAGGAGCGTCGTGTTGCAATATTCAAGCGCTTAGATGTATCAAATAACACTAATTAATATTTATGCATCCAGTTAAATGAATTGGTCTCAAAATTCTGGACTGGTTATTGTACTAAGTTGCGCAATAGGACAGAACCCAGTCAACAGGAAACGAGACTGTTGTGTAATCAATGTTTTGACTTGATATGCACCACAACATTGCTACACTTGTGTAAACAGGTAGAAAAACAATAAAACAAAACTTTTTCAGATAAACACGTCTGTAAATGATTCTAAGACCGTACACCATTGCTGTGGTGCGTATCTGCTACATTTTCTAAATTATTCCCTACTGTATCTTGCATATATTTTATCCGTACATACGCCGATACGGCCCTTATCTGGAGCCCTGAGAGAGGGAGATTTATCCATGTACTCACCACAGAGGCACAAAGAGCCGCCACAGACCCACCCCCCGGTGACGGGGACCGAGAACCGACTGTCATGACAAAGTCCTTCACGTCCATGCTAACCAGTGGTCCATCCTCGTCACCCCTGATCATATACTCAATGATTCTCTCCTTGGGACTGAAGGCACCGAGAGAGTTCAGTCCAAGTCTGTTGATAACCTGAAATAAGAGTAAAGAAACAATATAATACCCCACTCAGGCACATACTGACTCCAAGGTCCAGGCCTTTGTACCCCAATAACTATCCCCTAGCAGGAAATCTGTTGGCATGAAACAAAAAAAGAGAATGACCAACCATCCTTCAGCTTTAATGACATAGACTCTACTTGTCAGTTAAGCAAAGAGTCACGTAAATGAGAACATACAAATATCAGAAAGTTTCACACTCAATCCTAAATAAAGACTGCATACAATGGAGATCTTACCAGCCTTAGCTTCTGGTCCTCCTCCAGTATAAACAAGTTCTCCTTCTCCATGTAGTAGTCGGCCACCATGAGCAGCGCCTGCAGGGGGACGATGCCCACTATCTGTGAGCCCACCACTGCCAGGTTCAGCTCCTGTCAATGCCAGTATCATCGTGGGGCTATCAGTACCAGTTCAGGGGCTGGTATTCAACATTCATACTATATCATAAATATCATTCATACTATATCATAAATATCATTCATACTATATCATAAATATCATTCATACTTTATCATAAATATCCTTTTATTAATTTTTCATCATACTTTTACAAATTTCACTTTGAGGATTTATTTGATCCGCTATACTTTATGCAGAATAGTATCATCAACATTGTATTGCAAGACTTGGTGTATTATGAATGAGTGAGTGAGTGAGTGAGTGAGTTTAGTTTTATGCCGCTTTTAGCAATAGCAATATTCCAGCAATATCACGGCAGGGGAGGTGTATAATGACAACCTTATGGTGAAGTAAAATGGCTTTATCGATTATCCACTTACATCAGCATCTTTGGCACATTCCTCGTAGGCGGTATGGACAGGAGTCTTCTCGTAGTCGGTGAGATTCATGGAGACCTGTGCCATATTGGCTTCCTCCATGTACCAACCTATAGCCTGGACGTCACTCAGACGGCCTGGCTGAAATATAACATTGTTCTCCAATATCACACAGATTGCACTGCAGGTGATTACTTGGATATCATGGTGTCTGCTGATGTTGGGGGAAAGCCCAACGGGACACAGGTCATGGGCTTTTGAGAAACCATTATTTAAATGACGAATTCTGGTCTATTGTCCTCTGGTGAAAATTTCGCTGTTACCCAAAATCATGGTGAAATATCAGCCTCTGGTTTAACTCCCCAAAGTTAACAGTACACTGGTCATGCCTGTTCTTCAAAACTATTGTGATGCTAGTTCAGAAAAATTACTTCTTCCTTTCACAGAGAAAAATATCAGTTTGGAACTTAGAGTTGACCGAAAATATATTTATCTCAATCAAAATCCCTTCACACTAAAAATCCCCTAATGGCTGATTCATTACTCCAAAAGAGTCTCAAATCTGCTGGCCTCACCTGATCTTTTCCCCGGCCCTGTTCCCGCACATTGAGGGCAATCCTGTGGGCCTGCTCCTTGGTACCAAGCAGGTTGATGTTGTATGCAATGAGGAACTTCCTGGCACCAACAGCAGTGGCACCCCAAGACGGGACAAAATCTGCAGGACCAAAATCAGGCTTCCACACCGGGTCCTGAAGCTGTGGACACACAAGAGTTCACATTCATGACTTAGATTGTGCATGGACCCGTGAAGATCTAGGTTAGAATTGTTCTTCAGCAACCCATGCTTGTCGCAAGAGGTGAGGGGCGGTGGAGTAGCCTAGTGGTTAAAGCGTCCGCTTGTCACACCGAAGACCTGGGTTCAATTCCCCACATGGGTACAATGTGTGATGCCTATTTCTGGTGTCCCCCGCCGTGATATTGCTGGAATATTGCTAACAGCAGCGTAAAACTAAACTCACTCACTCACTCGTAAGAGGTGACTAACAGGATCGGTCGTCAGACTTGCTGACTTAGTGGACACATGTCATCGCTTCCCAATGGCATAAATCGATACTCATGCTGTTGATCACTGGTTTATCTGGTCCAGACTTGATTATTTACAGACCGATGCCATATTTCTGGAATATTGCTGAGGGCGGCGTAAAACTTAGCTCGCACGCTCACTCACTCAGAATGTGCACGAGAAATTTATTCCGTAACTGGTCGTGGAATACGAGATTATAGAGTGAAGCTGTGACACTTGAAATACATGCTTCATCAGACCACCAATATCATATGAAATAGATCTGTCATTTGATATCCTCACTGTATGTCACTGTAAAAGTAAGTCGGTTAATATTTTCTATTGCCAAGCAGCAGATGCTTCCTATAATATATGTAAATGTAGTTGGTTGCTGGGATAACACCATATGCTACTAATGGTACCTGTGTTGGACCAATATAACCAGAGGGAACTCTAGTATCACACTGACACATTTCTTGCAACCAGGTTTGAATAGATTTGACCTGAGTCAACCAATGATAATAATAATGGAAAGCAACTTTTTGGAAACAATACAAAATGGCTGCCAGGAGAATGAGAAACACAACCACCATGTGTGCTGCCATATGACATCAGTGTTCACGAATAGCGTCTGACCCTCTGACAAATCCGGCAGATTCGCCAGCCGTCCGATAGGAGTGTACAACCTGCCGGCCCCATTGTCTGACTGTATATTTCACAATGACTTTCACTGAATTTGTTATATATATGACATTTGCCACTTGTTTGCTGTTTATAAATCTTATGTTTGTTAATAATTTCAATGCCATTTATAAGGAATATTAAATCTGAAATGTGTGTTTAATTTTATTCTATGGGTCCCGTGCATTTTCAATGGGTCAGACAGACATCTGAAACTACAGGACCCAATGTCCTGTTACTTTGAAACACCATTTGTGAACACTGATATGACACAACTACCTGTATTCGAGGTTAAAATGTGTTCTTGGCCTGAAAAAGCTGCCCCTCTACCTATATAATGCAGGTAAACCAACAAGAATGTTCAAACAAAACATCCTCAAAATCGCATTATTGATTCTAAAGTAAGTAAATCAACAACAAAAGTTAAATTTCTGGTACACATATCAGAATCCGTTTCAAAATGCTTTTATTCTTGGCCGAATCAATAAATGAAACTATTTTGCTTTAACAATAACGTTAACCAGTGTACCACACCCAGGAGTTTCAGGTGGCATCTACAACTAAAGCATGATAAACATCAATCAGCATGTGCTACCATCGTCATTCAGGAATTAATTTGATCAGAGTCTGTGTTTACTATCCTGAACAGATTTCATTCAAATCAAGCACAAATATTTCCGAAGACTATGAACACAGTGTAATTAATCAAATAAAGCATATGGACACATGCATAGCATTGGGAAAATAAAACGGCACGATGTACAGTGTTTGATAGTGAGGTATTATCAGGGGTGGAAATAACCCATTGCCCGACGTCCGAGTGAGTGTTTTTTTCTGTCGGGCAAGCAAATTTGTATGTCACACTGTACTGGTGTTCAATTGACTTTCCAATGTAAATGATGTTGTTTATTTAAAAAATCAACAAGAAAACGGCCGGTACAGTGGAAAAATTATCAGGGCAAGTGATTTTACATGTGCCACTGTACTGAAGTACACTAGCAATTTTAAAGTTATTTTCACCCATGATTATGGGTTGAAACCAAACAGTAAATGTAATCTGGCTTAGCAATACAAGGCATTGATCATGTGCATGTGTTGCATACCTTATTAATGAGTCCCTCATACTCCCCTGATCTTATGTCAGGCAGCTTCTTCCTCTTGTCCTCTGTGGCTGCCTCACCATACAGATATACTGAAACAATCAACTTACATCACAATGGGTCATCGGTGTATAACAACAGTTATGACCACAAAAAAATATCCTGACTTGGCCATCAAATTATAACAACAATGACACAAACTCATGATTGGTCACAAGTAGATAACTACAATAACGACAGAAGAGGAAACTAGGTCACTAGCAGATATTAACAATAACAGAAGAGGAAAATAGGTCACTAGCAGATAATAACAATAATGACAGAAGAAACTAGGTCACTAGCAGATAATAACAATAACGACAGAAGAGGAAACTAGGTCACTAGCAGATATTAACAATAACAGAAGAGGAAACTAGGTCACTAGCAGATAACAATGACAGAAGAAGAAACTAGGTCACTAGCAGATAATAACAATAACGACAGAAGAGGAAACTAGGTCACTAGCAGATATTAACAATAACAGAAGAGGAAACTAGGTCACTAGCAGATAATAACAATAATGACAGAAGAAGAAACTAGGTCACTAGCAGATAATAACAATAACGACAGAAGAGGAAACTAGGTCACTAGCAGATAATAACAATAATGACCACAATAAAAATGTTTCAAACCAGGTCACCCAGTCACTCATTTGACTTATACATGACTCCACAGCTACATTGCAATGTGGCAGTATGTACTTACAGGGGGCTGGCTATCATTAGAGTGAGTGAGTGAGTTTAGTTTTACGGCACACCCAGCAATATTCCAGCTATATGGCGGCAGTCTGTAAGTATTCGATTCTGGACCAGACAATCCAGTGATCAACAGCATGAGCATCGATCTACACAATTGGGATACAATGACATGTGTCAACCAAGTCAGTGAGCCTGACCACCCAATCCCGTTAGTCGCCTTATGACAAATATGGGTTACTAAAGATCAATTGTAACCTGAATCTTTAAGGGTTGCTATCATTAGAGATCACAGAGACTGTTTTAGTTAATTACATATTACTTGATTATCAACAAATATCAGAGAGGTAACTTTGAACAGAAATATAAAAAAGTCTGAAACAAATCAACATACTTCTAGCCACTTATGGGTGGTGACACATTTGTGTATTGGGTGCATGAATAGAGGATATTATATGAGTGCCCATGTCATACTATGTTTATGACATGAGTGCCTAAATGTTGGTATTTCCCGAGCGAGAGCAAGGGCATCGTATGAAAATTATGAACCCCAATATGTTCGCCCTCGTAAGTATTAAATAAAAATTATATTTTCTTACAATAGTTTACATAAGATATATCATTAATCAGTCTTCTTATTGACAACATTTCCGATTGTCAGTTTTTTAGCCAGCCCTATTGCAAGCCCCTGAAATATTGATAATACCTTTAAAATACAAGATAAATGAGACAAGTTACCCAACACAGCTGGCAGTACAATATATTCTGATAATATTTGAAAAAAACAACCCAAGAACATGAAGCATCTTTCATTAATTTTTTCCCACTATAATTGTGCACACTATGAAATAACACAATAGACAGTGTGTACCTGGTACAGAGAGCTCCTCCGCGAGTCTCTCGGCAAACTCCCGTGCACACTGTACACAGTCCTCCATAGTGGTGTCCTGGACAGGGATGAAGGGGCACACATCCATCGCGCCCATACGAGGATGCTCACCTACAGAAGACAACTTGGTAAACTCAAATATCGGCAAGAACTGGTCCAAATACCCACAGCACAGAGCCACACAGGAATTACAGATTATGTCTCAAGTGAAAGAAATGTGTAAGCCCCAAGTAGGGTATTCTATAAATTAATGTCAGGTAAGGATAAAAAAATACTGCAATGCATGGACAGGATTTCTCTGAACAATGGATGACATTATTATTATATTAATATTCATGCACGTGATATTAATATTCATTCAAAATATCGCCCGGTAATGACACATGTCAGTTTTCATTATAGTCTGTTTGCAATCAAATAATGGTATCTTACTTGTCCGTGGGCTACTAGATAATTTCCACTTATGGTTTCAAACTGCAAATAAACTTGGATTTAATTTCATATCTGCTCAAAATGTAGCTTTTAAATTTTGCAATGATGATAAAGTAGAGTTATCTTTCTTTGCTATTTATCACTTTTCAATAAATAGTCCAGTAAACATTAACATCAAATACCATGTTGATTTATTCTTTCATAATTACATCATCATGATTATGTCATAAAATCAGGGCAAGTGGAAAATTTGTCAGGACAAGTTACTTTGTGGCAAGTGGCTTTTTAAAATAATTTTGAACCCCTGATTCAAATGAAAAAATCAGCAAAGCGCACGTCTAAATATCGAAAGTAATGACACATGATCATTCTACCCTAGTGTGTATTACATATCAAATCCAAAACCAGCCCTACACACCAAGGTCTGTTGTACCTTTCCCATTTAATTCTATATTATGTAACTATGCCATGAGTAAACTTGAAACACTTCTGTAAGTAAGGCAACAAGTATGTTTGAGTTATCAGAGTCAGAAAATTCAAGATGGCAGACAAACAGAAAGGTGTTTGAAAGACTTTGATATGAGTAGTTAGTCTTAAGTCAGACTACCGTTATGGGCCCTCATGTCGATGAGGTGGTAGGCTGCCCTTGCTGCATTCAGAGCTCCCTCGACCACGGTCACTGGGTTGCCGACGAAGGTGTAGACTGTACGGTTGGTGGAGATCCCTGGGTCGACGTCCAGGACGCTGCATCCTTCTGTTTGAGCTATAGCAGCTGCGATGGCTTCAATAACCTGCAATACGAAATCAGGACCAATTATAGAAACTATATCACATATATCAGCCTGTTAACATCTCTGGGTACTGTGATTTGTTGTTTTACACCATTCAATTTTCCAAGTAATAATGGCCATCTGTACATTATCAAGTCTTGCTAATCAAAGTAGAGGTTGATATCATGAGAAACATCCTGAGCTGTAGGGTAGGATGCCAGTCACTAAGTCATTGGAGTGATTTCATTTAGTCTTCTCTTACAACAACCACCTCACATAGCCTGACTACTAGTGGTGTTCCAATTAATTGAAATAATCGAAGATTGGCCAAAGTGACCAAACGACCAAGCAATCGATCACATTTTCTCATAATCGAACACAAACGATTTTGGAACTGCTGTGTTAGTCTTTGAAACACTTGACGATGGAACATAACCTCGAAGTTGTCAGGGCCTGAAAACTTGTTTAATTCTTAGAAAACTCACTTCACTAACTGAAAAGTCATGACTGAATATTTCTTGAAGACCCCAGAAGGTTAATGTTCATGATATATCAACATCACTTAAAAGTAGCAAGGTGCATCATGTTATACATATCTGCAATAACAACCTGGATAGGAAAATCTGAAAATAGACGCTAACCAATTTTTATCGATGATTGGTCGTTGGTAATGAAGCAATCATCAATTATGAGATTTCAACCAATTCCCAACACTACTGACTACCTCATTTCATTTAGTCTTCTCTTACAACAACCACCTCACCGAGCCTGACTACCTGATTTCATTTAGTCTTCAATTACAAAAACCTAGTCACTGATCCAGACTACCTGATGTCATTTAGTCTTGTCCTACAATTACCTAGTCACTTAACATGCCTACCTGATTTCATTTAGTCTTCATTTACGATTACCTGATTTCATTTAGTCTTCTCTTACAATTACCTAGTCACTTAACATGCCTACCTGATTTCATTTAGTCTTCATTTACCTTAACATAGTCACTATGTCTCACTACCTGATTTCATTTAGTCTTCTCTTACAATTACCTAGTCACTTAACATGCCTACCTGATTTCATTTAGTCTTCATTTACGATAACCTAGTCACTATGTCTGACTACATAATTTCATTTAGTCTTCTCTTACGATAACCAGGTCACCACATGTAATGACTATTATTGAATGAAATATTACACGAGGAAAGACAGCAAAGACTGAAGAAAAATCACCTGATCACATGTGGTGAAACGGTATACCACGGTATTTTGCCATTGGTTCAGTATACGATAATGCAATCCAAATATTAGGTATTTTCGGTTTTTGCCCTGTTCTTCTATTTAGTCATAAAATGACAGTTTTGTTCATTCAAAATAACAAAGACTATGGCTATTTCTTTCCATGTTATTAAACAATGTAAAGTTTGGCTCTTGACAATTTTCTGCATTATGATCATATCTCATGTACTGAACTGAAACGGACCGAACCGAAGGCCTTGTACCGCAATAATACGCACCGTACCATGGTAATACTGTACCGTTTCAACCCTACTCATCACGAAACAAACAATGTGAAACATGTCACTGATCTAATCCAAAATCAAAACTTGTTTATTGATTATTACAGTATAGAACATTAATTACTTCCAGACTGTTTATAGGAAGCAGCTGGCATGCTGTCATAAAACAAACTCAGTGTTCCGGGCAACAGGTGTCCTATCAAAGTGTGCCATTAAGAACAGCATTAACATACCTTCTACTGCTGTACACTTCCTTCTGAACGTGAGTATGAGTAAACACACACACATTTGAAAACTGTTACTCCTGTTTTATAATTTGCCTTTATTGCATTTAAATACACAGAGGATACTAAACGACCTTCCAAGTAATATCCTTTTTTATTAAACAAGTTAATGATTTGGTGTCAAACGAGCAAAAGCAAGTTTGATACATAAATCTTTCAAGAGCATCTTTCACAAGTTTGATAAAAAAATTAAGAAACAGTGGTCTTCCAGGATTACCGAATATTATAGATTTGCATGAACTGTATTGGATCTATTTGTTTCAGTCTGTAGGAGAGACCTGTATGGACTAATAAACAGGAAAACACACAACCTTACAAATAACAACTCCATCTTGATAACTGTGTAGGAATCTACACTGAAACATCATTAATTATGCAGAAAACCAGAATCTTTATCCATAAAATTGTACGTTTTCTTATCTTTTTTATTTTCATATTTGTAAACAATGAAGAAAAGAGTAAATCGAGTAGACTATGTTTAGAAAGCAACGATGCTTTTCATCTACATCAGACAGCCGGGCTGAGCTTGACACCAGGTTTTGACCCATACAGCTGACCCATTTCCTCAAGCATCAGCTTGTTTTGATTTAAGCATCCATATGTTGTGTCACACACTTCACTTCAAGGTCAGCATGATAAGGCAGCACTGATTTAATGCTGGCAAAATGATCTGTTTGGGCAATGTTTACTACCGAAAAGAAGTAAAACACCTGTTTTTTTACCACCTATTAGGGCTGGGACGGGTAACCCAGATACCCGGGACGGGTGGTCTCAGTACCCGGACTCGTTAGGATCATGTGACTAATAGATTAAACAATGTAATATGTTATTTTTTATGATTAAAAGGTTATTGTCTTTGAAGATTTAGACATTATTCACAGTCACCTGTTTTGAATATAATACATGATTAAGAAATTGAAAGAAAAAAATAGCCTCCGAGCTGAATAATATATTGCCATTTCTTACAATTTTGGCGTCATGAATTAACATATCGGGTATCTCGGTAGGGTAATAGGGGGTGGGGTACCTAGTAGGGGTGAAACGATACACCGCTGTATTAGTTGAACCTCAGTATTTTGCCTTCGCTTCGGTGTACCGTAATGCAATAAAAAAAATCGGTATTTTCGGTTTCCGTAATGTCATTTTAATAACTTTTTTAAACCTTTTCTGAAACATATAGAAATCCAATCATTTCTAAGTAAGTTTGTGATCACCTCAAGTCGTCTACATCCAAAGTCAGCAATTCCCCACATGGGTACAATGTGTGAAGCCTTTTTCATGGTGTTCCCCGCCGAGATATTGCTGGAATATTGCTAAAAGCGGCTTAAACTAAACTCACTCACTCCAAAGTCAGCAAGACCGTAAATGCAGATACCCGATCAGTGGCTGGGTTCTGTTTCTTTTTCAGTTATTTCAAATCAGACAAACAGCGGAACATCGTAATAACTTAATTACCGACAACTTTAAAATAAATCCCATTTTCATTCACAAAAACCTGTTTACAGTAACATCGGAGAAGACGTGTGAAATTGCATCACCTCATTCTATACGCGTACCACTTCCGCTTACAATGTTCACGAGGGTCTGCTTTTCGCGCCTACCGCAATAGCACCAATTTCACATTATTCTCAGCAATCACGAACTGATCACCGCCTCATCATCCATGGACCCCAAGACTAGAGATGTGACGATACAGAAATTTCACGATACGATATGTATTGCGATATCTTGGAACGACACGATTAGATTAGATACATATCACGATATGCTTTCTTAAGTTATTTTCTTTAAAATATCATATTTTAATAGCAAGAAATTTTGACATAACCGTCAATATCTAATGAAAGTTAAGAATTTTAAGGTCAACTATACGAAAAAACGTATTGATATATTTATCGTCAGATAAAGTATCACGATTATCGATACTACGATATATCGTCACAGCTCTACCCAAGACCAGCATTAATGACTCATTGAAGTCATGTTTCACAATTAATTGCCAACATTTTGTTTTTACAATCCAAGTAGCATGATCCGTGGGAAGTCAACGGTGACTTGTCAAACTGTCTCATACGTAAAATGTATCCAGCCACGTAAGTGCTGAGTTAATTATTATTTTAAATATCTTTGTAAAAACATGCATAATACTAATACGATAGCAATATATATTATCTCTGTTAAAATAACTGCTTGAGATATAAATTATTCTGGTAATGGAATAAATTCTTTGATGTTATATTTTCAGTACATTGGAGCAAAACATTTGTACACAGCTGATCGCTATTTCCGGCTTAGTTGAATAATAGGATCTGTCAGGAAACATAACGGGAAGGAAAACTGAATTATCATGTGTTGTGATGTTTGATTGCAGGTTTCCTATACAGATACATTGTATCTATTTTCATTTGCAAAGTCTGTTTCTTCACCTCTGACGATACGATTTAGTTTTGATGGCATGTTCTCATTTCGCCTACATCCCAATTCGCCTACAGTCTTAAAACAACATTTCATGGTCTGTTGACTGCTGGTTACGCAATGGTAAACTAGTGGCACCCCTATGATCTAAGAGTGGACTCTTCTAGTTGAGGTAGTTGCAAGACAAAAAGACATTTTTTACTGCATTAACCTTTACATTTATCTATGACGCACATCCAGTGTGTGGCCATCATGTAAACTCTGTCAAAAAGGAAACGCAACCCCTGTCCTCAGATATGAAAAATTCGTTTGAATGAAGTTATTGCTTCCAAACTAAATTTTATTCAAATGTATTGAAATGATACACGTAATTAATGAAGATTACCATCCAAACAACTGCATTTGTACGCATAAGTGTATTTTATTGCTTATTCCGTCACAACGCATGAAATGACCCTCATGGTGACTTCGCACAAAAAAAACACATGCAAATCATGAAAATGGCAGTTAATGTAGGGGTGTATAAAGCCCATGTGCTTCCTCGTTATTATATTCATTCATTTGTCGCCCGAAAAGCTGTGTTAAAAATGCCGCGATTGAGTGCTGCCGACCCGAAATATAAGCCATTGGTGGGTGTTCAAGCCGGAGAAAGTTTTGGAACTGTTGCCGCGGCACCTAAATGTTCACAAAACAACGATATCCCGACTTTGGAGCCGCTACAACAACTTCAATTTGACCAGCGATGCGCCCAAGAAGTGGAAGGCCAAGAATCACGACCCCCTTCAAGATCGGTACATCCGGGTCCATC